TCAGTTTTATCCCATCATTTGTGCAGAAGGTTTCTTAAGGGGCTGTGTAATCTTTGCCCGCCTCAGGGCACATTGGTTCTCCCGTGGTCCCTCTCCGTTGTTTTGGGACCGTTGGTGCTTAAGCCCTTTGAACCCCTTGCCTCATGTTCATTGGCTGGACTCTCCATGAAAGTCTGTTTTTAGTGGCCGTCACATCAGCCAAGAGGGTGAGTGAGTGAGCAGCACTTCAGGTGGACCCCCCATTTTTGAAGATGTTTCCTGAGAGGGTAATCCTTTGAGCCAGTCTTAGGTTTCTCCCTGAGGTAGTTTTCAGGTTCCACTTATCCCAGGATATTATTTTGCCCGTCTTTTTTCCTGCAACAATCGCTGAAAATGAGCGGTTGTTGCACTCCTTAGATGTTAGAAGGACTTTATTATTTTACCTTAAAAGAACCTTGGAGATCCGCAGGGATAAAGCACTGTTTATATGTTTCACTGGTCCTAATAAAGGGAAAAGAGCATCTTCTCAGACTTTGTTTCGGTGGATTGTCTCTACCATTAGGAAGTGTTACAGTTTAGCCAGGTTGCTGTGCCCACTAACAGTCATACCTGTTCTACCAGAGCTGTAGCTTCTTCCGCAGCTTTCTTCAGTGGAGTATTGTTGACGGAGATCTGCTGGGCGCTACTTGGTTGTCAGCAGATACAGTTGTACGCCACCACCTTTTGGATCGGCAGGCGAGGTGAGACTCTGAAGTGGGCCAGGCAGTTCTTCATTTGCTCTTCAAGTGAGGAGAGCGTGCCCCACCTCCTGGTCAGTAGCTTCCCAGAATCCCCATGTGGGACTGCACAGAAGACCGACGATGATGAAAACAAGGTTGCACTTACCTGTAACTGTTGTTCCTCGAGTATCTTCTGTGCAGGCACACATACCCCCTGCCCCCCTGCCCCACTGCGTGCTCTGGCTTCGGCGGCGCTAGAGGTCCTGAGGGTGGGGGCGCTGCTGTGGGAACAAGCTTCCTGGCTCTGGCGCGCAGCACCCCCTGGAGGCTCTTAGCTGTAAAGACCTCTCCGAGGGCAGGCCTGCTCATGCACACAGTCCCCATGTGTGCCTGAACAGAAGATACTCTATGAACCACAGTTACAGCTAAGTGGAACTTTGTTTTCTTCTCTAGCTGCCCAGCACACAGTTTTTCAGCCTTAAACCACTTTCTAAAAAAAACAACTTATTTCAATGACACAGTCGATTTTTTAAAATAAAAATGCCCAATAATCTGATATGCAATCATTTTTTCAGTGCATCTGCTGAGAGATCTGACTTTTCTAAACTTTTATTTGTATTTCTCATGTATTTCTGTCTTCCCTTTGTCTTTTATTTCTGTATTACGGAAATAACTAATACAGTTATTAAAGAACTTCAAACAACAAAATGAAAAGTATCCCAGGAAACCTTGATATTATCAACTGTGCCTCAGTTATTACAGAAATCTGTACATTTTTTGCAACTTTATGTGCTGAATTTGGACTTCCTTCAGCAAATAGAGATTTGATTTCCAGTCAGTTTGCATGACCATCCGACTCTCTTCCATGTCATCACGAGGGGGAGAATGATCTGAAATTCTTCTGCAGTGCAGTCCTGTGCAGTGACGTGATTCTCATCTCAGTGCATTTACACTGGAGTAACTCTGCATAAGATTGCACTGATGATAATAATGTTCATTGAAGTTTAGGTCTGTGGAAAGCCTGGATATGAGTATGAAGTACAAAGACATATCATTTCTGGAATACAGTATGCCAGGCTGAGAAATGTATAATCTCCTTTAAATTGATGAAATTTGCACAAAAGATCTGATATTCTACTTGCTGATCTATCTTTGAATGGAACAGTGCTGGCCTTACCATTTCTCTTTGAGAAATTATCACATAATGGGTCTCAGAAGCTAAGGAGGGTCGACTAATGCGAGCTCCACTTTCCTAATATCTGTTCCTTTTTTGTTAAGTCCTTGACTTCATTGTGGGCATACAGCAGTACAAGTGTAATAGTGATGGAATATGTTTCCTTTAATTATTAGGAAATGGCTCCTTCTATGCAGAAGATGCTCATCAAGCTCACAAACCTACCCTATTTGTAAAGAGAATAGCAACCCCACCCCCTTTGTTTCATGCACGAGAGATCCCTTTGGACTCCAAGAACACTTTGTAAATAAATACACAACACACATAGGTTGATGAGGCCTCTGCCTCTTAATCCATGCTGTAATATTCTTGTGCTCAGGTGGATGATTTAAACCTTTCCTATTTTGCAAAAGCTTAAATTTCATTTTTTAAATCAAATAATTTAGTGATTGCTGGTTTTTCCCCTGCAGGTTTGTAGACGCTCGTGAAATGGCAGAGGCCTTCCCCTACCGAACAAAGGCCCTCTTCGCTTTTGAAGAGATCGATGGCGTGGATGTTTGCTTCTTTGGCATGCATGTGCAGGAGTATGGCTGGGATTGCCCGCCCCCAAACACCAGGTATTTGGGCCTTGTATTCAGGAAGGGTCAACAGACGAAAGAGGCATGCGGAGGATTTGCATGATGGTGGCGCTATTCTTCCCTTGGAGCAGAGGCCTCTCCCTCCCTGGAGCCTTCTCCAGCATTCACCACGTTTAACCATTGCCGCTCCTCCAGCTTTCTCTGGCTCTGATTTTTCTCTGCCTACTCACTGCATTTTGCTTCCTGTTGCCACTTCTTCCTCAGTTTTTTGTATTGCACTGTTTCTCATGTTTGCCTTTATTGGTACTGCACCTGTAACAGCCACAGACGTCTGAAAGTTCAACCTTCTGGGGAGTCTCGGGTGTTATCTTGCTCGACTCTGTGGTGCAGGAAAAGGCCCTTGGCCTTCTTCCTGCTCTGCTTGTGTCAAAAACACATGGAGTGTTCGGAGGAGGGGAGCAGGACACACACGGAGCATTTCATGGAGGGTATGTTGGGGGGGGCGGAGTATGTGGCTGACACATTTGTTCACCTCCCCCACCCAGGGAGAAAATACCTCTAACTGAAGGAGCCTGTGGGGCAGATAACACTTTGACCAGCAAAATCTAAAAAGGACTCATTCTTTCATTCAAAGATACTCTGGATGACTGGTCCAGAAACTCCCAAGTAGTCCAGAATACGGCGGCACGCTTGCTGATGGCATCGCCCATGCGGGCATGCATTTGGCCAGTATTGTGCCACCTGCACTGGTTACCTGTTGAGTACCAGATCCGTTTCAAGGTGTTGGTATTAACCTTCAAAGCCTTACGCGGCCTGAGACCAACATATTTGAAGGACCGCCTCATCCCATATGCACCCCGAAGAGCCTTGCTCGAGGGACATCTGCTCAGCCTCAGCCAGGGCTGGGGCTTTCTCTGCCTTGGCTCTGGCCTGGTGGAATCAGCTCCCACTGGAGATCAGGACCCTGCAGGACCTTCTGTCGTGCTGCAGGGCCTGCAAAACAGAGCTCTTCTCCCAGGCCTTCAGGGCATCCATCTCAGTTGGCCCTCCCTGCTCTAGTTCCCAACCCACTGAAAGGTCCCATTTGATTCCACCTTGTGGCCCTAATAGATTTATATGAAATTGTTGCTACATGTGTGATTTTATTGTAGCGAGTCTTGTGAGGGCGGAATAAAAATCTCAAAATAAAATAAAAGAGAGCAGAGAGTTGACAGAGACATAACGGATCTTGATGTTCATGCAGTGGACCTGGCAAAAGGCAAAAAACTTACACAACCCAGGGACTGATCTGTTGGCTGCCACACAGGCATCGCAAGGAGGGCAGAGCAGGAGAAAGGGGGCCAAGGAAATTACCTTAAATCATGTGTGCAGTGATCCTTAAAAAAGCAAAGGTGAACAGAGGGACCTGAAAGGTGAGAGAGAGAGAGAGAGAGAGAGAGAGAGAGAGAGAGAGAGAGAGAGAGACTTTCTAGAAGTGGCACTGGCCATAGTTTTGCGTAGGGGGTGACTTCTGGCCGGGGAACATGAGATTGAAGCTGAAAATGGGGGTTGACCCGTTTTCAAACGAACTGGGGAATGGACCAATCTGATGTATTTTCTTGGGATTACTCTTTTAATATGCAGTGATTAAGGTGATTGGACTGCAAGTGATTGAGCAGCCTAATTATTATGTCTGTTGTAGGTGCTGAGTTTTGAGGGTTTTGCCTGTGTGAGAACAGGAAGGAGCAACAGTCAGGGTTGCTAACAAGACTGACAAAAGCCAGCATCAGTCCCGTTTGTAGGTAGAACTCCAGGGGAGAGAACGTGACTCTAAAATCCCAAGCTCCGTCCTGGTTAGTTGTTGTAGATTTTCCGGGCTGTCATGGCCGTGGTCTTGGCCTTGTAGGACCTGACGTTTCGCCAGCAGCTGTGGCTGGCATCCTCGGAGGTACAACACAGAAAGAGGGAGGACTCTCTGCGTCAAGGTGAGAAGAAAAATGGCAGGCAGGTAATTTATATCAACAGAAAGGACTGCAGCAACCATGAAATGGTGGGATAGCTGCTTCGAGGGGGAAGTGCTGTTGTTACAACAGGCCAGGGACTTCCCTTTTTGATGGTTGTATCAATTTAACCAGTCATCTGATAAGATGCTTACCAGGATTACAGCAAAGGGTACCTAGAAGTTGTTCCAGCTTTCGACAGAAGGCAATATTGGAGAAAGCAATATTTTGTACTAGGGAAAGGAATGCTAGGTTACAGCTTCCCAGATGGGACACCAGTCAGAGAGTTGACAGAAGATCAAAAGAGCATGGGCAGAGAGATTTGAGGAAGCAAAACGACCGTGTTTCAGCAAGAACAGTTCCGGGGGGTGGGGGAGTGTAGAGGTTGTCACTCAGAAAATGCACGTACCCCGATTGCAGCCACCGTGCAGCCACTCTCTCCCTTTGGCGCAAAACTTTCACAGGACGCTTTGGTCTGTCTGCAGTATCAGGATGTATATCATTCTGGTCGCAGCAGTTTTGTGAAGAAGAAGAAGAATATAGGCCTTTCCCTCCCTTAAGGACAGAAGAGAGACAGTGCAGGCGTTGTTCACAGCACAGCAAGCTTCAGAATTAGGCCTCCTGATCGCGCAAGGAAACCGCCACCCAGAGAAGGGCTCAGGGCCATCCTTACATGCATGAGGCACCCACCGGCTTTCCCTTTCCATCCAGCTGAAATGATTTGTCTTTTGCATGGCTGCGTTTTAACCTTGTATGCCCCACCACGATAAGGCATGGTTTGTCGAGCACTCTCACGTTATGGGCCGTGTGTGTTTTAAGGGCCTCAGAGTGCCAGGGAGCGGCCTTGCCCCTCTCAGCCGTGGCCGGCCAGAAGAGCAGCCTGTGCTGGCAGGCATCCGGTTCATGACTATCCCCCCTTTCTCCCCAGCGGGGACCCAGGGTGGCTTGCATCATTCCTCTCTCTCCTGCTTTATTCTCACAAGAGCCCTGTGAGGTTGGTGAGGCTGAGAGAGAGTGTGTGGCTGGCCCAAGGTAACCCAGGCAGTTTTCAGGGCGGGGGGGTGGGTGGGTTCAAAACTGGCACTCTGCCCACTACACCGGGCTGGCAGGTAGGCAGGAGCCTGGGCCCCCCTGACTCCGGAAGAATCCTGGCGCTTGCCAGAGGCTGGCAGGTGCATCCGCTATACCGGCATCTGCAGGCTTTGCCGCTCTTTCTTTCTCCCCAGTGTATTTCTCATGGTGTATGCAGGCCCAACAGAGAGTTTAGCTTCATGAGTCCATTTGCGGCCTCAGACATGACTGTGCTTCCCAGAGAGAAAGAGAGAGAATGCGTTTGAGGACAACCACAGAGGTTTCAGTAAAATTTCAGAACCGACATTTTGTTGCTGATCCTTTCACCCCTTTATCATAGGCGTGTGTACATATCCTATCTGGACAGTATTCATTTCTTCCGGCCAAGATGTCTCCGGACAGCTGTTTACCATGAAATCCTCATTGGGTACCTGGAATACGTCAAGAAACTAGGGTGAGCGTTTTTATGAGCCACTGTTTCATTCATGCACCCTCGTGGCTCTGCCTACGGGTGCAGCGCTAATTCATACCTAATGGGAGTTGCTAAGAGGGAGGGGAGGGGTCACATGGATTTGTCTGAATTCTTGAAAATTTCCCTCAAGGCTACACGTGACACTTTACCTGCCTGGGCGTACAAAACAAAGTGCATACAAATTTAGCCAATGGTTTTTAAAGGTCGTCGTAAATTTGCATAACAAAACCAGCAATTAAAACCATAATAAGTAATGGCTGTTTCTTTGAGGAGGATAGTAGTGTGTTTGCTGGTGTATTCCAGCCACGGGGGAAAGTGTGCCAGTTCTAGAAGTCCTTGCAGGGCTGCTGTGTGTGGGGTCATTCCCAGACAGCAGAGGGAGGGGCAGAATGGGAAAATGTGGACACAGGAGCCAGCTGTAGACGTGAGTGCCGTTTTGCCGGCTGGAAGCCAGAGCATTGGCTCCCGGAAGCCAGGCGCTTCGTGTGTGGTCTGCACTTGTGCGGCTGAGACGCTTCGTGCGTGGTCCACTCCTTTACCTGGGCAGAGGAATGCTGCCTGAGCGACTGGGCTTCTTTCCACACGTGTGCTGTCAAGGAAAAGGAGGCGGCCGTACATTTGCATGCGAGGTAAGGGTCGTGTGCCGTAATGAAAAGACCTTTATATCAAGGCGGAAACTTCCGGCATTCAGGGTCATCTTCCTTTCAGCTAAATACGGTCTGAAGCAGCTCTGAGAGACTTCCGGAACTGGCTAGCCAAGAGCACAGTTTCATTCCAAGTTATAGGCTGAGGGCAGCATGTCTGCCCCCCTGGTCCCTCTGCCCTTCTCTCCCTCCTGGTGAGATGGCGGAGGCCCATTCAGGACCACCCTGACCTCCTTGTCACAAGGTGAGAGGCCCGAAGCTAGCGTGTGGCTCCCAAATGCTCCCAAGGGAATACTTTCCCTGCATCGTCCAGGCCCCCTCTGAGTGTTGGCTCACACAACAGAGGGTGTAAGGGGTGAGCAGGTTGGCAAGTAGACCTCTGTACAGTGTGCCGAGGGAGGCTAGGAGGAGGGGGAGGGGGAGGCACTCCAGAAGCACAGCTGGGTGGTTCCTGCCAAGCCGGTGGCCGCCACACACACCGTGGCTTCTCCTTTGGATGGAGCAGCCAGAGCCCTGTACTTGGGAAGTGTCCGAGGTTCAAGCGGCAAACCGGGTGGCAGCTGGGGGCCAATGTCCCCCTCTCTGTATCCTCCCTCACAGGACGGGTGGGACCCTAAAATGCTGCTCTGAGCTCCTCAGGGTTATTAGTGGAACAGACAGAAACATCGATCTGGTGGGAGTGGCCATAAATGCCCAATGTCCCAACTCCCCCCGCTCCAATCCACCCTGTGGGCCACAGCGCTGGGAGGGAGGTGGGCCTGGATTGTGGCAGGCTCCTGTTTGCACAGTTCTTCTAAAGCAGCAGCAGCAGCAGCTCCCGGTGTCACTCAGAGAGGAGGAGGAGGAGGAGGAGGATTCTTCAGAAGTTCCTCAGGCCACCTTGGCTGATCCTGTCTACGGGGCAAACAGAGCAGGCCAAAGCATGCCGGGAAACACCAAAGCAGAGGATGGCAGCCACTCAGTACCTTTAAGTGATGTGGCCTGCTGTAGGTTTTGGGGTGCTAAAATGGTTTGGGATTCTTCCTGCCGTGCTAGCAAAGACACCTGTAACTCTTTTTGCAATTAAGCCCCAATTACGGGAAGAAAACTGTGTTAAATGGGGGCCTTTTGCTTTTCCGGGGCATGCAGGTATGTGACAGGCCACATCTGGGCCTGCCCACCAAGCGAGGGGGATGACTATATCTTCCACTGTCACCCTCCTGATCAGAAAATCCCCAAGCCCAAGCGCCTGCAAGAGTGGTACAAGAAGATGCTGGACAAGGCGTTTGCCGAGAGGATCATTCACGACTACAAGGTGAGGGCACGCTTGCCAATGGCTTCTCGGGTCCCCTCTCACGAGAAGGGGCAGGCAGCTGGGTCGTGCCGTTGCTGCTTCAGATTCCTGGCACCTGTTCACGTCTAGGTTGGGCATGTTCAGGATTACACGGGGAAGGCACAGTGCTGTCTTCAGCAGAGGTAAGCCTTCCTAGGCTATTGACCTCCGTTGCCGTGAAAGGGTCCCAGTCTCTCTGTAGTTTAGGCCAAGAAGAGTTTAAAAACACAAGTATCTGTTTTTAAGCTGGGGGGGGGGTTTCTGTGGCACACTGAGGATTGCCTTACACATATCATTCTGGGCATTTTGATTTAACAGTTTACCACTTCAGAATATATTTGCAGATTACCTAATACAGCTAGTTCTGATACACCTTAAATTGGAACATGGCCCCTTTGAAATCCCCTTTTTCTGCATATGGTTCCTTTGTGTGGATTTTTTGACCTGCCTTCTGGGGCTGTGTTCAGATATCCCTTCTGTTATTGGAGGGGTTGTTATAAATCCACCTGAATAATAATGTCGTTTAACATCTACATGCGCCTCCTCGACGAGTTGGTCCAGGGGGTTGAGTTGGGGTGTCACCAATATGCAGACGACACCCAACGCTGCCTGGACTCTGCCCCAGAGATTTTGACCAGGGCATTGGAGGGCGTGGCTGGTTGGTTGCAGCAGAGCCGGTTGAACGAAACACAGGGGCCCGCCCCTGAGCGGGGGGGGGGGGGGACCGAGCTGCCCACCCTGGATGGTGCGTTACTTGCACCAGCCCAGATGGTGAGGAGCCATGGGGTGATCCGGGATGCCTCACTTTCTGTGGAGGCCCAAGTCACTGCACTTGCCAGGCCTGCCTTTTCCCATCTTCGGCAGATCAGGGCTTGGCTACAGGGACCCATGCAATGGTCACTTTCAGGCTTGATTACTGTAACTCGTTTTACACGGGCTTGCCCTTGAGACTGGTCCGGAAACTCCCACGTATTCCAGAATAGGGAGGTGCGCCTGCATATCCTGACGGCATCGCCCGTGCGGGCATGCATTCGGCCAGTATTGTGCCGCCTGCACTGGCTGCCAGTTGAGTACTGGACCCGTTTCAAGGTCTTGGTGTATTAACCTTCAAAGCCTTTCATGGCCTAGGACCAGCATATCTGAAGGACCGCCTCTTCCCGTATGTGCCCCAAAGGGCCTTGCGCTCACAGGATCAAAATCTGCTGGTTACCCCCGGCCCGAGGGATGTCCGCTCAGCCTCAGCCAGGGCCAGGGCTTTTCCCACCCTGGCTCCGGCCTAGTGGAATCAGCTCCCACAGGAGATCGGGGCCCTGTGGGGCCTTTTATCATTCCTCAAGGTCTGCCAAATGGAGCTGGTCCACCAGGCCTTTAACTGTCCACCACAGTTGGCCTCCCTGCCCTTAATCTGGCTCCCAGTCTGCTGGAAGGACCTTCTGATTCCACCTGTGGCTCTGACAGACATGAAAGCCTTGCTACCTATATGAACTTTTATTGTTAGTGTTTTAACTGTTTTAATGTGATTTCATTGTGATGAGTTTTGGACTTGGCTTTTGTGATCCGCCCTGAGCTCGCTTTGGGGAGGGTGGAATAAAAATCTCTAAAATAAAATAAATTAATAGGAACGGGGCCTCTGGCTCTAGCAGACTGTTGTCCTCTGAGATCTCAGCAGTTATTTGGGTATCACCGAGCCTTCTGACTAGCTTTTTTATGTTTAAATTATAAAGCAAAAAATGAAGGTGCTTGAAACTGGCAACACACTCATTTTAGTGTCCCCGCGTGTGCTCACTGTGCCTCAGCCAGTCGCCTTCAGCAGTCGGGCACGTGCCCTTCAGCTCTTTCCACCTCCAGAGGCACCTGCACCACTTGCTAGTCGCCGTTCAGACTGAGGTGAACCTGATTCAGAAAGCACTAAACAAGTGATCTTCTTCGTGGTCTCTGTGCTTCACACCAATGGGATCTAGTGCGCCTGCGCTGGATCTGCCGGTGCCTAGCAAGCTCTCTTAAAAGGATTTTCGTGCCTGGCCCGTGAGCATGCTCAGGAGCCCCAGTGAGCATGCCCAGAAGGGCAGGCACAGACATCCCGCCAGTTCTTTCCTTTCCGCCACGCTGAGCAGACCTTTCTTCGAGAGGTCTGGCCGGATCGCTGCTTTTGGATCACTTTTTAGTGATTAGCTCTCGTTTTTCGCCTCAGTTTTTCTTCAGTTTCTCTTTCTTTTCTGTGTTTTAAAAAAAAAAGGAGACTTTTTGTTTTTCGTCGTCTGAGGTAAAATTGCCTCAGGCCTTCGGGCCGCTGCCCCCCCCCTTGTCGCTGGTCTTTTTCTCCTCAGTCTATGGAGAAGACAAAAAAGTAAAAAAAGTGGGGATTTTTCCACCGTTGTCGTACTTGTGGAAGTAAATTGGCTCCTCCAGACAGCCATAAGTACTGTATTTTCTGACTTGGGGAGACCCACAAGCCAGACTCCTGTGAACATTGTGCGTAGTTTTCCAACCAAACTCGGAAGAACAGAGCGGCACGTTTAAGAGTTTTCCTCTTGGAGAAAGCGCTTCAACCAATGGCTGACCCACCGGTCTCTTCCTCCGTCGCCATGTCTTCCGCTACCGACGCATCGGCATCGAGGCCGTCGACGTCGAAGGCTAAGTCGGTTTCCGATACTGAGAGGTCGAAACCGAAACCTAAGGTAACAAACATTCCTTCCACAGCGTCAACCCCTGCTAAGGAGGAAAGGAAGTCCAACCCTGCAGTGGCGACGCACACGATGGTCAAGGCTGCGAAGCTTGCTAAGAAGGACTCTCTGCCAGCAGCTCCAGCCCTTCCGCCACCATCGATACCGACTGGTTCGACACCGATTGCATCGATACCGGTGAACCAGGTCGTGTTTGAGACTACGGTACTTGTGCTGGTTTCTCCAGACCATCAGGTGGAGACAGCCTTGTCCGATGTCGACCAAATGGAGCTCGTAAGTCACCAGTTGGGTGCGGAGTTTTCCCCTGGTCCAACGAGATCGTCGGCTTCGATCGTCTCAGAGCTGCCCGATACCGATGGCCGTCGGCAGCGACGCTCAAGATCCACTACTAAGAAGGACTCTGTGCCAGCAGCGCCAGTCCTTCCGCCACCATCAACGCCGTCGATACCGACTGGTTCGACACCGATTGCATCGATACCGGTGAACCAGGTCGTGTCTGAGACTACGGTACTTGTGCTAGACTCTCCAGACCGGCAGGTGGAGACAGCCTTGTACGATATCGACCAAATGGAACTCGTAAGTCACCAGTTGGGTGCGGAGTGTTCCCCCGGTCCATCCAGCTCCTCGGCATCGATCGCCTCAGAGCCTCCCGACATCGACGGCCGTCGGCATCGACGCTCAAGATCCAGTGCGGAGCGTCGGCCTCCCCGTCTGTCGCCTGAGTCTGTCGATATCGACGCCTTTGACTGTAGAAGGGGCACGTATGCTCTTCCGTCAAGGTTTTCCCCGCATCATCCAAGGTCGAGGAGCTGTTCCCCAAGGTCGTGCATGCCGCCATCGATGTCTTGGGATGAAAGGCAGTACCGTTACCCATACGGTCCGTACCACCCTCCGATGCCTTGGCTGGGCCATACGGGATACACTGAC